CGTTTGACCAGTTTAGCTCGCTATGATGTGTGCTGACCACCAGGGGGTAGCACAGGACATGGCGGGCATCAGCAACACAGCACTGGCAGCGGGCGGCAGTGGAGGTGCTGCCGCCCCAGTGGGCCCTGATGAGAGCGGAACCACAGCGGGATGGTGGAGCAGATGAGTGGGCGGCACCAGGTCAGGGTGGGTGCGAGCGGGGCCCCAATTGCCCCTGGTAATCAGCAGCTGCAGCAGGAGGTGGGGCAGCCACCCAGCTCCCAGGCAGTGAGGGAGCGAAGTGGGGGACCTGGCCCTGATCAATCGCCACACAGGGATGGTGGAGCAGGTGAGGGGGTGGTGCCAGGCCAAGGCAGGGTGCCAGGCAGGGCTGCAAGCTGGGGCCCAATCTCCGCAGGCCACCCCGAGGGACCCTATCAATGCACAATTTTGTGCACCCGGCCTCCAGTATTAGCAGAAATGCTTCCAGCTGGCATGAAAAGAGACTAAGACTATTCAAAATATAAAAAGACACCTAGACGCCCAATTTAAACAAATATCTTATTGGTTTCTTACAGGGAGGAAGGGAGAGGGATAGAGAGTTAGAAACATTGATGAGAGAGAAACTTCAATCAGCTGCCTCCTGCACACCTCCTACTGGGAATGTACCCAAAACCAGGGTACATGCCCTTGAACGGGATCGAACCTGGGACCTTTCAGTCTGCAGGCCAACGCTCTTGCCACTGAGCCAAACCTGTCAGGGCTAGACTCCCAATTTTCTACCAGCAGAAAGCAGGCTCTGGAGCTAAAAACTGGCATATTTTTAATGCTCTCTTCAGAAATGGTCAAGGAGTGAGATGGAAAAGGAAAAACATATTGGGTAGCCCCCGCAGTATTGTGAAGAATAATGCTCATCGAGTGTGGCTTAGTGGTTGAGCACCAACCTATGAACCAGGAGGTCACAGTTCGATTCCTGGTCAGGGCACATGCCCGGGTTGTGGGCTCCATCCCCACTAGGGAGTACGAAGGAGACAGCCAATCGATGATTCTTTCTCATCATTGATATTTCTCCCTCCCTCTTCCTCTCTGAAATTAATTTTAAAAATATATTTTTTAAAATAATAATAATAAAAAAAATGGGTTGGCAAAGTATAGTGCCTGAACTAAGAATGGTTTTCACATTTTTAAGGGCTGAGAAAGAAAGAAAGAAAGAAAGAAAGAAA